AGGAAGCGCCGGCAGCCGGGATGGGGGGCTGGGAGCCAATCTCGCCCCGTCGGGGGGCTGGGCGTGTTTGGAATCCCAGGCGAAGGCGCAGCAGAAGTCATGGGAACAGCACCAACATTAAGAGAGGTGGGGTGCCCAGTGGGCCGAGCTTAGGGGTCACTGGGGGCGTCTGCTGTGCCCGGATGGGGCCCCTGCCTGGACGGGAGCGCCCTGCAGCCGGTGACATGCACACAGGGCCAGCCGGTGACATGCACACAGGGGCAGCCGGTGACATGCACACAGGGGCAGCCGGTGACATGCACACAGGGCCAGCCGGTGACATGCACACAGGGCCAGCCGGTGACATGCACACAGTGCCAGCCGGTGACATGCACACAGGGCCAGCCGGTGACATGCACACAGGGCCAGCCGGTGGTCTGAACACGTTAGCATAGTTTGTGCACTGCTGTTCTTGAGCTGTGTCACGTGGCACGTGGATTGAGGACTTCAGCATACGGCTCAGCCCCCTGGACAAGCCAAAGAGGGGCCCGTGTGCGCATGGGGCACCCCCCTGCTGGGTCAGGCTGGAGCCCCAGCCCCCGGCCATGCCCGGTGTCACCTCAGTGCAGGGCTGGGGTCCTCCAGGCCTCTCTGTGCTGCCCAGGGACACATGAGACATGTGCAAGGCCACTCGCCTTCATCACTGCTCTTGTCCGTCCCTGTAGACACTGCCCCATCGGGCTGGGTGCCGTGGTTATTCCTATGAGGAGCCAGTCCCAGGGTTCCTGGTCATGCCTGTACTGTGCCATGTCACTTGTGTGCGGGGCGTGGGGCGCCATGTGCATGGAGCCGTGTGCTATGTGTGTGGTGCCGTGTGCACGGAGCTGTGTGCTGTGTGCTGTGTGTGGGGTGCCGTGTGCCGTGTGCAGGGTGCCGCGTGAGGGGTGCCATGTGCCATGTGCACGGAGCCGTGTGCTGTGTGTGGGGTGCTGTGTGCTGTGTGCCGTGTGCACGGAGCCATGTGCCGTGTGCACGGGGTGCTGTGTGCTGTGTGTGGGGTGCTGTGTGCCGTGTTCGCCGTGCCGTGTGCCATGCGTGGGCTGCCATGTGCGGGGTGCTGTGTGCACGGAGCCGTGTGCCGTGTGCGGGGTGCCGTGTGCACGTCTGTCCTCCTGCCCTCCAGCGTCAGCGTGGCCCGCGCGGGCACAGAGGGACGCACGGAGAATTCTCTCCGCGGCTGTGCTGCTCCGGTGACGCGTGTGCCCTCCCTTGCAGAGACGTGCGGCAGAAGGTGCAGCTCGCAGTGGCCCAGGCCTTTGGCGTCAGTGCGTCCTCGCTGCACCTGACGAAGCCCACGTTCTTTTCCCGCATCAACAGCACGGAGGCCCGGACGGCTCACGACGAGTACTGGCACGCACACGTGGACAAGGTGCGTCCCGCCGCCCAGCGCGGCCGTCTGGGCCCCGAGCACCTGGGCAGCGCCTGTGCGTCCAGGGCTGGCGGCCCCTCCCCGGCGCTGGGTGCGCCCTCACTCAGCTGGGAGATGCCGTCGAGGACGTAAAGCTTGTTTCCCACGTGACGGTGACAAGAAGCTCGCGACGCACTCGTGAGGAAGCAGCGGGGGCCCTGGGGCTGGACCAGACGCAGGTCGGGGACGTGGGGACGTCCAAGGGGCATCGGGGCCGGCTTGTTCACCTGCAGTGGGTTCAGACACCAGCCCAGGGCACCCGTGACTGGGCCCCGTCCACCGCCCCCTCGTGGCGTCAGCAGTCACTGACCTGTGGGAACAGTCACCCAGACCTGTTATTTCATTAGGGTGCCGGGCCAAGACCTTGGGCGTAAGATAATCGTAGATGTTGCTGAGAAAGAGCCAAGGTTTGACAGCAGGGGTCCCCAACCCCTGGGCCGCTGACCAGCGCCGGTCCATGACCGGTTAGGAACCGGGCCGCTCAGTAGGAAGTGGGCGGCCGGCGAGCAGCGAAGCCCCATCTGTGTCTGCAGCCGCCCCCAGCACCGGCATCTCCGCCTCAGCTCCACGTTGGACCATCAGGCTCTCGATGCTCACGGGAGCGGGAACCCTACTGTGACCTGTGCATGTGAGGGACCTGGGTGGCACGCGCCCTCTGAGAGCCTGGTGCCCGATGGGCTGGGGCGGAGCTGGGCGGTGGCGCCTGCGCTGGGCAGCGGCTGCGGGCACAGGGTAACGTGAGCAGGGAGGTTTGACTGCACCGAGACCGTAACGAGGCAGGTGCTTGCAGACATGTCAGAACCCCGTCGGTGAGTGGCAGGCGGCCGTTGAGCCGCACTGGTGACGGGCTCTGAGTTGGAACCTGACCCCGTCTGAGTCCGCGCGTGACCCGCCTGCCATTCATTTGCCACTTCCGTCTGTGCCTCTTTCCCACACTGCACACCTGTGTCAGCCACGGTTCTCACGAGCCCACGAGCAGACTCGCCAAAGCGAGTAAAACACAAGCGTCCCTGGAGAGCTGCTTTGGAAAGGGGGAGAGACCCGGCGGCGAGACGGCGGAAGACTCTAGAACGGCCAACGACGAGAAGCTGCATTTGGGAGACAATGCCGAGAGTCCTGCTTCGATCGCGGGTTCCCGGCAACAGGCGACGCCCACTTCCCAAGCCCGCCTCGTGTAATGTGCGGCGACCCGCGACCCACGGCCCAGCAGCCACGCAGCCTTCCGAACTGCTTCGCCACAGGAGACCAGGCACCCAGTGTTCAAAGACGAACCTCTGAGGTTTTCCAAAGGGAGACACATGAGCACGAATTGCTGGGGCAGCGTGGGAAAAGGCCACCGCCGCGCCGAATGCGTCCGCACGGAGCGCGTCGTTCGTCGCCGCCGACCGCGTCGCTGCAGCTGCGAAGCCCTCGACTGTCGGCGAGGAGTTGACCCTGCCTGCTGCTGAGGACACCTGTCGTGGACTTTTAGGAGGCCGCAGCGCGCAGGTGGTTTGTGAGCGTCTTTCGGCCAGCACGCATGGAGCGGACGGCAGAGGGTCTGAGGCAGGGCCGTCAGAGGGAGCCGTGCGTCGCCGTGGCACGCGCTCCAGGCCGACGAGTCTGCGGGCGTGGACAAGGCCACGGGCTGGTTTTCGTGCCATCTGTGTTCGAGAAGATGGGCCTGGGGGTCTCGTAAACGCCCTTCGCTGCCAACCAGCACCACAGCTGCAGCGCTGTTCGAGCCTTTGAGCGATCGCACATCAGGAAAACGGAGTCGGTCACTTCGTGCCGGGACGTGCACGGACGGAGTGGCCTTCTGTCTCACCGCTCAGGTCAAAGCGGTCGCTTCTAATGTGAGTCTATGCACTGTGTCATCCACAGACAAATGCTGGCTGCCCGAAAACTGTCACCTGAACGTAACGTGACGTTGCAGGATGTGATTAAAATGATCCACCCCACTGAAGTGCGCCCTGGGAGGAGTCGGGCACAGAGCACACGCATCCTCCGTCTCACAGACGCGAGGCGGCTTCTGAAGCCGGCCACTGGCCAGAGCTTCTGACTTACGAGAGCCGCTCCAGAGATCTCTCTTGGAAGAATAGTCACCACGGGCAGCACATTTCAGTGACACAGAACGGGTTGCACAGTTTGCTCATGTGACACAGTCAACCTGCTTAACCAACTCGAGCTGCCGCCTCGGGGAGAAGGGCGACTGCATCCGAGTCGGCTGACGAAGCGGCTGCGCTCACAGCCACGCGGGAGTTACGGGGCGACGAGAGAGCCCCGGGATTCTTGGCACCTTCCAAACGTTAGCAGGGCTTTCGAAGGAGATTCCGCTCGGCCGTGAATGCAGCCGCTTTCCGGCGAGTTGTAGAACCGTGTCATCACGTGTTCCAATGTAATCGTAGAAATAAAGTGCACAGTAAGTGTAACGTGCTCGAATCATCCCGAAACCCAACAACTGCCCCGGTCTGTGGGAAAATCATCTTCCACAAAACCGGGCCCTGGTGCCAGAAAGGTTGGGGACTGCTGACTGACAGCATCGAGGGCGAAGAAGCCGTGCGGTGGACGGAGGGGCGTGCGGGACGTGTGGCGGACGGAGGGACGTGCAGTGGGCACAGGGACGTGCGGCAGACGGAGGCGTGGACGGAGCCTGAGGGATCTCCTGCATGGAAGGAGGAGCAGCCATCCACGTGCCACACTGAGTCGGGTCCAGGACAGCTGAGCGTAGCCCGGTCCAGTTATGGGGCCACAGATAAGGAAGAGCGAGTCAGCGGTGACCAGTGCGGCAGCCGTGGCCATCTCCGAGTGGTGCTCCGGGCCAGGGGACAGGGACCAGACCACGGGAGCCAGGATGGCGTGTCCAGCCAAGGGGTGCATCTTCAAGCATGAGAGAACTTGGGGTGCAGGGCATCCGCTTCTCACCCAGAAGCTCTCCAGCCGCCCCCCAGAAGCAAATGCCCGGCCGAGCCTCCCAGCCCTCACCACCCATCACCCACCTTGGCGTTAGTGACCTGGCCCCCTGTGCACACCCGCCCGCCGCCCGCCTCCACCCCAGCTCTCCAGTTGCACGTGGTCTCCGGGGCTCCCATGCAGTATGTGGGGGCGAGTGGGAGAGGGTCAGGCTCCTGCCCCATGCGTCTCGTACGGCTCCCACAGGCGTGACGCTCCTGGCTGAAGCCATCGAGAAGTAACCACCTGGGTCGGTTCGCGGGTTCCAGTCATTTCAGTGTTTGGTGAACTGATGCCGGATCAGGGGCCCCAGAGGGGGTCTTGGTAGGGGACGTGGAGCCAAGGCCAGGTGTGTAGGAAGGGTCCAGCCCCCTGGGGTTGCGCACGGCATGGTGCCGAGCTCACAAGGTGACGCTGGGTCTCATCACCTCGGCGGGCTTGCTGGCCCTCCCTGCTGCTGAGCCCAGCTCCTGTCAGGGGGCATGGCGGTCATGGTGGGGGGTGAGCTGGTTACAGGGGGCGGAGGCGGGAGAGAGGGCTTTTGGACCTTTCGAGCCTTTATCAAATGTGTCCCCTGGCTTGGCCAGGGCTCCATGTCCTACTCCCACGGTGCCCACAGGAGTCTGTACTCCTAGCCCAGCAGCTCAGACGCGGCATCTGGGCCTGCAGCACAGTGGCATGTGTGACACTGGGGGGCCGTCCTTGGACGCCTCTCCCTCACACCCCGACGCGCTCAGGGAAGCGGTCACCAGGCTGCACAGTGTGCGCTGTCCACCGCTGCCTGAGCGTGAGAAATGGCAGCTCACTAACTTCTTTCATTAACCAGACGCGTGCTCCCCGTGGCCTGGGGAGGGGACACCTTCCCTGGGTGACACAGACCACCGCCGTCTCTTCGGCAGCCAAACAGAGATTTAAGCCAAACCTCAAATCGCATGAAGCCACGTCCGGTGTGACCCCCATCTGCGGGAACCCCAATACCCACCAGGCTGCTCAGACGTTTCTGTCCCAGTTGCCTTCCCCCCGCCCCCGACTTCGGGGGGTTCTCAGGAAGCAAGTGACAGCCGCCTCCCATTGGCGGTCCCTCTCCCAGGCCGGGGTGCAGTGTCAGGGTCCCCGCCCAGACCCCGTCCTGCCCCCGCACCATCCTCCAGAAGACCGTCCACGCAAAGAGAGCCGGACACTCGAGGACAGACTCTGCGGGTCCACTGACGGAGGGGCTCGGGGGGCGCACGTGCTCAGTGCGGACGGAGGGCCAGCTGGGAAGACGGGCGTCCTGGAGGTGGCGGGCAGGACGGCTCTCAGCAGGGTGCTGGGCTCCAGAACGCGGTGCTGGCTCTGCTGCCTGCCTCTTGCCACGACTGGAGGGAGCCGGGGCTGCTGGTGTCTGAAAAAGGGGCAGATGCGCTTGTCACCGACCCTCGCTCCCTGTCCGGACGAGGAGATAGGCCTGTGGGCTGGTGTGCTGCACGGTCCCCGTCCAGGAGTCACCACGGCGTGGACTTGTCACCGTGGGTCCCGTGCACGCTCGGAGCTGCGCGGGAATCCCTGGAGAGGCGTGGGGGAGGGGAGCGCGGGGGGGCTGCCGTGCCGCGGGCAAGGCGGCGAGCGGCCACGTGAGAGACACCCCTCTGCCCGCAGGTGACTTACGGCTCCTTCGACTACACCTCGCTGCTGTACCTGTCCGACTACCTGGACGACTTCGGCGGGGGGCGGTTCGTGTTCGTGGAGGAGGGGGCCAACACGACGGTGGAGCCCCGGGCAGGTGGGCGTGTGGTGGGCGGCAGGCGGGTCCAGGGAGGACGCCGCGCCGTGTCGGGGGCACCCAGCCTTTGCCCACCTCCTGCCTCGGCAAGCTCCCGGGGAGGGCGGGCGACCCCCATTCGCCGTTTGGGCACGAACGCAGTGGACGTGGCCTCCACGCCTTCCTGCCTCCTCCCCCAGGCCGGGTGTCCTTCTTCACCTCGGGGTCCGAGAACCTGCACCGGGTGGAGAAGGTCCACTGGGGCACCCGCTACGCCATCACCATCGCCTTCACCTGCAACCCCGACCTGGGCATCGCAGACCCCGCCCTCACGTAGGCCACGGATCGACCGGCCGGAAGTAGCCACATCCAGCAGGTCACTGAACAAGGTGCCTTAGGAGTCACTGGGGTCGGATTTGCTCATGTTCCGATGCTTTTCCATCTGTGAGTAAATCCAGGGAACCAGCTTCTCGCCTCCCAACCCCTGCGTGTTTGCTCTGGGTGCCGTTGAAGTGGGGTCCGCCTGGCGTTGAGCCGGCAGGAAGGGGTCCCCACACCTGGGCAGACAGCCCCATTCATCGCAGACAGAAGAGTCATTTGCTCGGGACAGTGCCATGTGGGGCCAGCAGCCCCCACTTGGGAAGCAGCATCAGCACTCATGACACCCGTGAAGAAGGTTCCAGGTAGGGGTCAGGTCTAGGGCGTAGACGGGGGGCCAAGGGCCAAGATGCCAGCCGTGGGGACCCTGGCCGACGACGCAGCATCTTCCATAAACCCAGCCCCACTCACACCCAGCAAGTGCTCTGAGCTGGGAAGGCCACGTGCGACAACAAGGCTTACTCGCCAAACCGAGTGCGTGATCTGGGGACAGAGCCGTCAGGCAGACCCAGGAGACACAGCATGTTGAGGCCAAGCAGGGGAGAATCCAGCAGCCTAGACTCAGATTTCAGGCCCGAGGCCCCTGGCAGCTGTGGGAAAGAGGGAGAGTCTTGATCTGGAGTTTCCGGAGGAACGGGGTAGAGTTGGGGGGGTGCGGTTAGGGGT